AATAATACCGGTAATAATAGTCTTCATATTTTTAAAGTTGAAAACAAAAATCCCAGATTCGAGAGGGATAGTCATGTGACCATCTGTGCATGAACTAAATTGAATTTCATTGTTGGATTATAACCACCATTATCCAACTATAACATTAACAACAAAATATACAGCGCAAAGTCTGTGCAATAATGTTAATATCTACATCCACTTAACGGGATCGCCTTCGTTTCTTTGTAGTAATGGAATATAAAAATTGACAGTGGAACCACGGTTCCGGAGAATTTGACGTAAATACGTCCATACGGAAAGGAAGTTTATATATTGGCTTTATTCTAAATATTTCCTTTATACATGCGTTACAATTGAGTAAAGTTTGATTAAGACATTGCTTAATCAACTTGAATTAGTTACGCTTAAAATGGGTCTGTGGTAGCTGAATGTAATGTAAAGTAATGAAATGTAAGGTAAGGTAATGTTTTATAGGTAACAACAATGCCGAGTAAACAGATGACGTTTTCTAGGTAACAACAATGCCGAGTAAACACGACGTTTCCTAGGTAACCAGGTTACACTTTTTCGTTCCCCTTTTTTGCCGAATGACCCTTCCTTATAGACGTATTTACGTCAAAAACGAGAAACTTCGTTCTTTACATTTTAAATTCTCACAGCGGTGCAAATGCCGATTGTTGCCTTCTGGGTTGTAACGCCTTGGGACTTGTACGTTGAGATCCGTTTCGGAGAACATACCGACTATCTTCAGTTCCGAAGACATCCTAAAGTCCACGTTGCAATACAACCCAGAATACAAACACGTGCAGCTTTATTTTGCCTGATTTTCGTATAGACTTATAAAACCCTTGTGTTAACACAACGTTGAATGTCTTTAAATTTATTAGTTTATAAAACACACTTGTAAGGTGCCAGTGTCCATTAAATTATTTCGTATATACATATGTATTTTTAGGCTTGTTTTTATATTTCATGAAGTTGTGGCTCAGAGAGACGAAACAACGAAATTCACATTACATTTAGTTTCTACAGCCCTTCTGTAAACTTTCTCCAACAAGTAGTATTAAGAGTTTCTATTTATAAGTTGACTGGCTGTTATTTACACACCTGTTACTTAGAAATAATGATGTCTTCCACAGTAGGAGGCCTGGGTTTTCTTAGATAAATCCCAGTATACCGAACAGAAAAGTAATTCGGTCACTCGTGTCGTGACGAAGGAATAGTTGGTAACTTTATTTTCTATACCTTGTAAAAAGCTTCTTTCCGGTTAAAAAAACAGCTTGACCGTCACTACAACCAGCTATTTTCAGCAATAATTAGCATCTGTCCTGCGAAAAGTTACAGAACACATTATGGAAATCGGGAATCGTAGGTCTACCATAATTCACCATCAGACTCCTGTGTTTGTTTCCGTTACTGTTTCTAGATTTAGGCTAACTTTTGGCATTACAATTTTTTGTTACAAACGCAACGTGATGACTAAAAGACACTCATATAACTATTGTGCGTAGAACGCATTTCGGTAAATTCCTCCTTGTGACCGATTTACCTTGTTCTGTGTTTATAATTTTTATCATTTCTCCAAGTACAACAGAGAATCTGCGATAATATATACCAAACCTTTGTCGAGCACGTAACAGACTGCACAAACAGGTATCCAGACTGAAGACAGCTACCACATCACTAGATCCACTGATTCCGATAACTACTGCTTGATCAAAATGGCCGCGCGTGTTACTTGTTTCCACGGCGACGGGAGTCTGCTGCACTGATGGTGGAAAGAGAACGCTGTTGCTGTGGCTGGAGATTTGTGGGGAAAACTTGTCGAGGAGTGGGGGAAGACCTAGGGGAAGTCATTAAACTTAAGTTTTGTATGGAACAGTGGGTACAGTCAGAATCAAAACGTACACCGTCGGTCAACAAGAAGTTCCAATCACAGTGATGACTTGGAGTCACCCTGGTCCTTGTTTACAAAAGCTCCAACCAAGAAAATATTTCTGTTGATAAATTTGCGAATGATCGCGTGGAAATGCCAGAACTTAACATATTTAGTTACGTAATTTTTATCCGTTACTTTGAGTGATTATGAGAAACTGGCTTATACTGAGTGAAGACATGGTTTAAAATAAGACGGCATGTACAACCTGCGGCTCGTGGGCCGTATTTTTGATCTTCAAACCATTATATATGTGTCGTTATAGTTTTTGAATGGCCGTTACGTTAATCGTTTTTACCCAGATATATTTTGTGTTGTTGAGTTCACGCTCTGTCACTTTCCAGAATGAAAATCCTGATCAGTTTCCCTGTTGCAAGATGGTGGCAGTAATTGTTATTTAGATGAGCTTTGTATTTCAAATGTTTAGAAAAATTCATAGCGTACTTAAAGGACAATTAAAGAGGGTAGATTCATAGTAATCTTCTGATATTTGGTTTTTTCAATGTAATGGTTTTAATTTTATTGTACTAGAGCAGAGCGCTCCTTTCGGAGCTCCTAGGGGGGGTTGGTCAAGTTTGTAAAATGCAACCAACCTTGTGTAAGAAACTAAATTAACCCCCCGAATGGAGGGTTAAAACACTTGACCAACTTCGGGGGGGATTGCGTTTTAAAATCTTAAGTAATACACTAATCTACCCCCCCCGTATTGAGTTGTGTTTTAATGTTTTAAAATCTTAAGTAACACACTAAACTAACCCCCCCTT